TAGAGTACCTTCCGAGACTGGTCTCATAGAGGTGCTCGAGGCGAGGTCACGGGGCGAATCGTGCGGCGACGAGCAGCGAGCGCCTCTTGCAGTTGGCAAGGGTGCGCTTCTGCGCTCTGGACAGACTCTTTTGCCTCGTCCTGCCGACGCCTTCGATCGCGGAGCTTGGCTGCCGGCCGGAGTCGTCACCGCTTTCCGAGACTCGGCCTCCTCGGAGGACGAGCTGCCGGAGCTGCTGCTGCTGTCCACGGTCCGGCGCCGCCCCCGCCCACCGGCGGCAGGGCGGAAACCGTCTCGCGGCGGCGCGGTGCGGCCTCGCATGCTTGTGCTTGTGGCAGTCCGCACGCGGTAGATTGCTGCGGCGCGGCGCGGCGGGCGCTTCGCTTTATTTTCGTTTCATTTGGTTACAGTGGGTTGCGGGCATTAAGAAAACGTACCATTAAGAAACCCTACCAAGCGATTTCCGCAAAAATCTAAGAAACCACGGCGCGCCGCAGGCGCGGCCCCGAGAAAAGGCCAGACACGAGTGTGAACGGGAGGCCCAGCTCACTCAAAATTTCTCTTCGCCTGCGGCGCGCGCACTTGTCACTTTCCAAGTCTGCGGTGTTCTGAGACTGAGTGGATGGAGTGAATGGAGGCGTGTGTGCGTCTTCCCGTCATCCAGACAGAGAGCCGACTCGCTCGGCGGCAGACTCTGGCATCGCCCTCGCGGACCGTAGCTAGCTTACCTCGTACCTAAAAATCCTTCGGGCGCCGGCGCTCTGGCTTGAGTGCCCCGGCCGTGGGAGCTAAGAAACCACGGCGTGGGGTGGATGAGGGCTGTGGAAAGGCTTAGAAACGGCGGCGTGCCGCGCAATCCTGTTTTCTTGATGCCCGCAACCCACTGTACCTCAACAACCAATGGGGTTCCACCCGTCCGCTCCCTTGTTCTTAAAACAAGAGTTCTTACACCCGGCCGACACTTCAGGGAAAGAGGGTTGCAAAGAAAGAAAGAAAGAAAACAGACAACCCAAGGGAGGGATGGGAGGACGGCACGCCGCCACCACACACACACACAGGGATTTTAAGGAGAGGGGTGTGGTGCGCTAGCCGTCGCCCACCCTTGGGCGTCCGCCTCTTCCTATCTCTCTTCGCAGTCTCTCGCCGATTCTCGCTGCAACCTTCATGCCACCTCGCGGTCGCCCCCTTCTCGTCGTGCTCTCCCTTGTCGCTTCTTCCTCTGTCGCGTCGCTCTCCTCTGCCTCGTTCTGCGACGCCGCCGCCTCCTGCCGGTCCCTTGTTCTCGCGGCTTCTTTCGCCTTTCGGCGCAGCTCCGCCCTCCTCGCTGCATATCCTGGCCCCTCGAGTCTATCGAGCTCTCCTCGAGCAAGGACGAGTCTTCTGACGCCCACTGCGATCATTTGCCGCCCAGTCATATCGTTGCTCAGGTCCACTCTCTCTTCGAACACTTGTGCCTTCACGGATGATGCCGGCGCTGGGGTCCCCTTCGGGTGCATCGTGACAGCTGACAACGGGATTTCCACTGGTTCGTCCTCCTCGGAGTCGTCTTCCCCGGCTTCCTTCCGCTCGGCTCTACGTTCGGTACGTTCGGCGTGGCTCACCCTCCATGCCGTGAACAGGCGCTTTATCCACCCTATATTCTTCTCTCGTTCCTCTGCCCGTGCCTTGGTCTTGTCGTTGTTTCGCACCCATGTCTCCCATGTCTGTATGGCAATCGAGGCTGCCTTCCGCCCTTCCCCATGTATGCCGTTTTCAACGTTCCGCTCCATTTTCGGACCGCGTGCGTGATCCGTCTCCACTTTGCTATCTTCCATCTCAGTCTCTCCCTCTGCGACATGAGGGGTCGTCCCCGTCGTTGGGTGTCCCGCTGCCCCCCCCCCCCCCCCTTGGTCCTCCCCCTCCTCGTCCGCCTCGTCGGTCTGTCCGCCCTTATCCCCTTCCTTCTCTAGACGCAACTTGTCCTGCGCCTCTTTTATCACGGCCTTGGCGTGGTCCGTGAGCGCCTGTGTCATCGCCTTCAGCCTCTCTGCCGGTGTCTCGCCTTGGCGCGGTTGCATCACGCCGTCGTAGGCTTCCTAGCCTCGACAGCCTCGACAGCCTCGACAGCCTCGACAGCCTCGACAGCCTCGACAGCCTCGACTGCTTGACGCACGCGACGCGCGCGGCGCCAGTCGTTTTGCTCGCCGGGCGGCCCACACGCCGCCCCGTCTCGCGCTTCCTCGCGTGCTCGGGCCTCAGCGGGCAGCACCTCGTCTAGCCGCGCTGGCAGGCTGGCCTTGCTCTGGATCTGGCGTGCGCGCGCGCTGTCAGTCTGCTCCGATCGGTGCTCCCGAGGATCAGCAACCGGTGGTGAACCACCGGCGTGATACGACCCGCAGCCTACTCCTACTACCGCGCGCGCGCGCGCGCGGGCCGCCGCGGGCACGGGCGGGGCGAGCGAGCGCACCATCATTCAATTGGTCGTACGGGGCCGGAGGGATTTTTTATTGCAGGGTGTCGCTGTAAGCAAGAAAAAAAATTTTTTGCACACGCGGCCGATCGTGTGCAGCGTGTGTGTGCGTGTGGGCCCGTGTGTAAGATGAAGACGGATGGACCAAATTCTTTTTGCCCGGCCGCGCGCAGCGCTAATCGGGCGTCCTTTGCTCCTCCGTGAGCTAAATATACGCAGAAGATGCGGTCGAAGATGCAGTCGGTCCTCTTTCGAATGCGCGGAGCGCCGGCGCGCAGCGCCACGCCGCCAGGCGTCCGCCGGAGGCTCCCCGGCCGACACATCCCGGCAAGCTTGCCGCGCGCAGCGCCCCGCGCCGCAGGCCCGCCGGAGGCTCCCCGGCCGACACACCCCGGCTGCTTCCGCGGGCGCGGGAGCGCCGGCGCGCTCGCCACGCCGCGAGGCGTCCGCCGGAGGCCCGCCAGAGGCTTCTTGCTGCGGGCACATCCCGGCAAGCTTGCCGCGCGCAGCGCCCCGCGCCGCAGGCCCGCCGGAGGCTCCCCGGCCGACACACCCCGGCCGTATTCGCTCGTCCACACTCCTCGCCCTTCTCGCGCCGCTCTTGCGCACCTCTTGCGCCCCCCTCTTCCCCGCCGGCCCCGAGAGACTTGGCACGCACCCCCGGTGCGGGGGCCTCCGCAGGTGCGGACGACTGCGCGGCCTTTTGCGCCAGACGCCAGACGTGGCAGATAGAGTCTCGCTCCTGTGGGCAGTTCTCCGCGTCCCGGGTAGAGCGAGCTCCCGAGGTGCTACCCGCCCGCTGCGCGCATTGGACTCCAAGTCGATACGAGCGCGCCGCGCGTGGAGCACGCGGCGCGCTCGCATCGATTCGCCACTTCCAGCGTGAGGTGGGGTGTGTAAATAGAGCTTCAAAGAAAGGAGGACCAAGCCGCAAGCGCACCAGCGACACAAGGGACCGTTCTACTAATGCCCTCAAACCAGGGACCTTTGGCAAAGGGGCTGGGAATGCTGCGCTCTCCCACCGCCCACCCCCCGGCCCCGCGCCGCCGGCCGCGCCCAAATAAATAAATAAATAAAACGGACACTCTACTAGGAGATGGGTAAAAAGGAACAGGTCCCCGCCCTGCGGTCTTTGTGCAGGGTTCTTTGTGGGTGTGGTCGGCGACTAGCCGGGGTCGTCCTCCCGACCGCGCCCGTCGCCCGTCCGCCGTCGAATTCATCGGGACACGGGAGACGCGGGCGGCGGGGGCTCTCTCGGCTGCGGACGGCCTACGGGACCGGCCCCAGCTTCGGCTGAGGGCTGAGGTAGTGGTAGTGGTAGAGCCCGACAAGCTGCCGAGCCCGAAGGAGGTGGGGTCCTCCTCCTCACACCCGCCGTCACCCCGGCGGCCCGCGCACGCACGCCGTCTGAGCCTAGCGCAGCGCGAACTCGCTCTGAGCCTAGCGCAGCGCGAGATTTGCGCAGCAACCCGGCCGGGCAACCCTTTAAAAAAAGTTATTTTTTGAGGACTTTGAGGCAAGGCGCCGCGACGAGCACGCTCCCTGACACGTACGGACGCCGTTGCCCGTACGTCCGACGCCGTTGCCCGTACGTCCGACGCCGTTGCCCGTACGTCCGACGCCGCCGCAGCGCTCTATCACAGCCGCCGCTGCCACCGTGCACACTGCCCTTCCATTTCACGCCGCCCTTACCTGCAGGTCAGCCCGCACGACAGCATCATGGGCACTCCCGCGCCGGGCTGCAACGGCACCGTCTTCAACATCCTCAAGGAGGGGAGCGGCGCTGAGGTGGCCAAGGGTGCAACGGTGACAGTGCACGCGACCGGCGTCGTCAAGGAGTCGGGCAAGAAATTCTGGTCCACCAAGGATCCTGGCCAGAACCCGTTCACCTACCGGGCCGGCGTGGGGCAGGCAGCGCCCGCCTACCTCGCGACTTCTCCCGTCGAGCCCACGCTGAGCCTTGGCGCGCGCGTCAGGTGATCAAGGGCTGGGATCAGGGCCTCCTGGGCATGAAGCTGGGCGAGGAGCGCCAAGTGATTATTCCGGGCGCCGAGGGCTACGGCGCGGCTGGCTTCCCCGCGTGGGGAATCCCGCCGAACGGCACGCTCGACTTCACGCTCGAGGTGCTCAAAATCGAGTAGACTGCCCCTAGATACTTCCTCCCGACAGCAATAGTGGCGCGGCAGGGTTCCTCGGCACGCCGCACCGTCTCGAGGTTGCAGTCGGTACTCCCTCTGCAGCCGCCATTTAAGCAGCACATGCTTTTTGAACCAAAACGCACGACGCATGTGCGGTTGGCCCCCATCCCCGCGGGGTGCGCGTGTTACTCGTACGCTGCCGCGGCTCGGTATGTGTCTGAGACGGTTTTTGCGCCCGCCCCGACCGCGCCGGCCGGGCCCCGCCTCGTGAGCTGGCCTCCGCGGCTGAGCCGTGCGCACTGTTTTTTATAAGCTTTACGGGTTTACCCTTAGCCACATGTGCATGCACATGCACATGTGACATGTGCATGTGCATGCAGGATGTAGTAGCGGCGTAACATGCTAACATCCACCGATGCTCATGGACACACGGAGCCGGCCGGCGGCCTCGAGCCGGCGGCAGCATGCGGCACGGGCGCCTCTAAAAAGCATAAGCAATTTTCAGGATCCTGTGCGCGAAGCAATTCAGGATGCGCGCGCATCCACCATCCTGAATTGCTTCATGCATCTTGGGATGCTCGAGGCAATCGAGATTAGAATGGAAATCGTATTGGGCAAATTCAGATGCCTGCCTCAGCATCTCAATTGCGGGTTCCCCGCCCCTCGTGACGCGGGCGCCCGCGCGGCCCGCGCCGCGAACGACGCGCGCAGCCGCCCGGTGTGCGGCGGGCGCGGCCCTTCTCTCCGTCGATGGAGGCTTCTACTCAGGTGGAACGCGACCGAGAAAAGCCAAAAACAAAATGTGGGCATACAGGCGACTGGCTGCGACCACTGGCCGACGCGCCGACCACTGGTAGGGTGCGAGACTCTCCAGAGACGGGTCAGAGTGAGACGGGTGACGAACCAGAGGCACCTTGGCTTGGCTTGCATCACATCACGCCACGATGGATTAGAGTGGGTGCTTCGTCCAACCTCGCGCGATGGTCACGCGCAGATAGCCGCGCATGAGCGCGACCGGGGACGAGCCATGACCGCATTGCAGGCAGCAGCACGAGAATCACGCACCACCCATGGCCCAAAGCTGCCGGCGCCTGACGACCTGTGGAGAGGGCCGATCACACGTCCTCGCAGCGCCAGCAGCCCCCCCCTCACGGCGAAGCCGTGCGGCCAAAGTGTTCCATGAAGTGCGCCACGTCTTCGGCGACGTCGGCGGCTTGCGCCTGCGCGGGAGCCGTGCCGGCAGCCGTCTTCTCGGCCTGGGCGTGCACGACCGTGGCTGGCGAGGCGAACGTGACGGCGAGGCCACCAAGGGCGGCCGCCACCGACCCACCCTTGAGGACAGCTTTGACAGCGCGGCTGGGCATGTGGTACCGAAGGAGGACGTCCAACTTTTTGATGATAGCTCGCTCAATCTCCCGGTTCGTCATCATCCTGCTGCTCCGGGGTGCTCCCCTCGGGGGGGGGGGGGGGGGTGGAAGACAGACGATGCCGCGCGGACCTCTAACTCCAACCTCAGCAGCCCGCCAGCCCCTCCCTCTCCCGAGGACCTCGAGACAGGGCCTCTCACAGGGTACCCACCACCCCTGGACCACCCTCCCACCCACCCTCGTCCCGTTGATGGTTGAAATGCGAGAGTAGCACCGGCGTCGCGCGCGTAGTGATGGCCAGGGTCTCGAGGCGACAAGGTGGACGCGAGCCGCGGACAGAAACAGGAGCAGAAAAGCGAAGCAACCCCACCTGCACGAGCAGGATCTTGAAAGGACGGTCCTATTCCCACCTCGCGGGGCCACTTCTTAACGTCCCGTGCCTGTGAGCTGTGTAGACTCGCTTCTAGTGTAAAGAAAAGAAAACAGACAAGCCAAGCCAAACGAGGGACGGGAGGAGGACAGGGTCCCTCCTGCACGAGCAGGATTTTGGAAGGACGATCAGGCCCCTGCGGAAATTCTTTTTGTACCTGTGTTAGTGCCAGTGCGCGCCAGTCCTGTGCCTAAAAGAAAGAAAGAAAGAAACGGACAGCCCAAGGGAGGGATGGGAGGACGGCACGCCGCCACCACACAGGGATTTTAAGGAGAGGGGTGTGGTGCGCTAGCCGTCGCCCACCCTTGGTCGTCCGCCTCTTCCTATCTCTCTTCGCAGTCTCTCTCCGATTCTCGCTGCAACCTTCGTGCCACCTCGCGGTCGTCCCATTCTCGTCCCTAGTGTCGTAAAGAAAGAAAACAGACAACCCAAGGATCAAGCAGAGAGGGCGAGACGGCGGCGGGGCCGCGGCCGAAAAAGGCTAGGAGGGGGGGCCGGGCCCCGCATCCGTTGCCCAACCAGCGGAAAGCGAGTGGGGGGAGGATCGAGGGGATAAGAGGGCCCCTCCGGACCGAGGGGGGGAGGCCGAACGGAGAAGCCCTCGAGGGGTGACGTCGAGTGAGGATGTACGTCGTGTGCGTGTCTGGTGTTTATTAGCTCCGAGTAGAGGGGGCGCTCCGCTGCTAGGGGAAACCTGGAGCGCGGACTAACCCTCGGAGACCCGTGTTTACTTTACGGCCCTCTCCCTGCGAACGCGCACCCCCCCCCCCTAGGGGTCAGGGCTCTCTAGCCCGTAGCCCGATCCCGATCCATCCGGCCCGCTGGGTGCGCTTCTCAGCTCCCCGGCCCTGGATGTGAGGCTAATGACTGCACTCCAAGTGCTCCAAGTGCCCCCAAGGGAGGGATGGGAGGACGGCACGCCGCCACCACACAGGGATTTTAAGGAGAGGTGTGTGATGCGCTAGCCGTCGCCCACCCTAGGGAGTCTGCCTCTTCCTATCTCTCTTCGCAGTCTCTCGCCGCTTCTCGCTGCAACCTTCATGCCACCTCGCGGTCGTCCCACTCTCGTCGTTCTCTCCATTGTCACTTCCTCCTCTGTCGCGTCGTTCTCTTCTGCCTCGTCCTGCGACGCCGCCGCCTAGTGTCGTAAATAAAAATAAATAAAACGGGCACGCCAAACGAGGGGTGGGAGAAGGACAGGGTCCCCACCTGCACGAGCAGGATCTTGTAAGGATGATCAGGGACACAGGGGAACGGGAGCGGGGAGCGCATCGCGAAACGGAGGGGGGCTGGGCAGGGTTCACCCACACGACAGGGTCCCAGGGATTCCTCTCTCGTATAGGACAGGTTGCACCCGGCGGCACGGGGGCAGGCGCGGGCCTCCTACTGGTTGCGCTCTCCTAGTTCTCCTGCTCCTGACAAGGGACAGCGACAGGCTCGCAGCACGGTGGACTCCCTATTCCACTGGCGATCTCTCTCGACTAGCGACCTTCCTCCGGCTTCTCACCAGCAGTCTCTCACTACCACGGGCACACTGACAGAGGCGGCCAAAAGGCTCACGTGGGTGGCAGGGCGGTGATAGGAGTCTCGTGTCGTGCGGGCGTTTGCGATTTGCAAATTCTTTTTGCATTTGCGCTGTGCCCGCTCATATGTGTTGTATGCTCCATGCCACCTTCACGTTGACGGCCGCGCCACGGCTTGCCGCCGCCGGCGCCCCTACGCGCGCCGCTGTTCGCCTGAGCGGTGGCTCGGCCGCGCAGCTCCGGCTCTGGACGTCCGGGTCTTGACCCTATGCGCACCGCACAGCGATCGCGCTCGAGGAGCGGGGTCTGCCGTACGAGCGGTGCGCGGTCAACCTGGCGGAGAAGCCCGCCAACTTCACGCAAGTCTACTCAAAAGCCGTCGCTTTCTCGCCCCACCCGACGCTCTCCAGAGCTAAGGTGCCTATCCTCGAGGAGCTCGGCGGAGGGGTTCCGCCTCTTGTTGAGAGCCTCGTCATCTGTGAGTACCTCGAGGACCGCTGGCCCGCCTCGGAGGCGCGCTCGGCGCAGCGGCGTGCGGCATGCCGATTGTTCGTCGACCGGTACTCGGCCGCCATGCCCTACATGCCGCTTCTGCGCGCTGAGGAAGGCAGCGAGGCGGAGGCCGAGGCGCGGCGCGCGCTCGAGGAGGGCATGCGGGCGGTCGACGCCTTTCTCTGCGAGTACGCTGACGGCGACGGGCCCTTCTTTTTCGGCGAGAGCTTCTCGCTGGCCGAGGAGGCGTGCGCTCCGTTCGCGCTGCGCCTGATGCGCGTGCTGCCGGCATTGCGGCCGCAGCACGATCCCGCTTCGATGCTCGAGGCCCTGGGCCTGGCTCGGCTGGCGACGTGGCTCGATGCGGTGGTGCAGCGGCCGAGCGTGACGTCGACGGCGCCACCGGCGAGCGACATGGTTGCCGCCTCCAAGCTGCTGCTCGAGCGGATGAAGGGCGCGGCAAAGTAAGGCCCGGGAGGCGCTGGCGGGAGGTTCGTCCGCTCGTCCTCGGCCGCGCCGGTGGGCCGGCGGCCTGACATGAGGGCGTCTTGGACAAAGCAAAACCGCTCTGACGACGCCGGAAAATGAAAGGCCGTGCCGGCAGCCCTGGCAATTGGAGCACTTGGAGTGCAGTCCCGGAACATCACAAAACCCCGTATTTCTTTTTTGTACAACACTCAAACGTACGGATAGGGGGTCTGTGCACACACTGGCTGGCCCCTCCCCAGATTGCAGATAGGTAGGTAGGTTGGTCTTGTTTGGCCCAAAAGGGCCCTGCAATAGGTAGGTACAAGGATCAAGGTACCCCCTATTTTCATCTTTTTCGCTTCGCTGCGCGGCCTGGGGATAGGTAGGTAGGTAGGCGTTTTTGCGCGAGTCAGTGTGTCCAGAGGGGGTAGGAGCCGGAACCCTGGCGCCGATCCGGTATTTCTTTTTTGCACAACTCTGGCCACTGGTTCCGGCTCCTACCCGGATCTCATGAACGAAGCGGCCACTGAAGCCCTCAGCCTCTGCACGCTGCCGCCCGAAAGCCTACGTGAGGCGTCACGGCTGGCAGCCGCTGCTTTCGAGACCAGTCCGCCCTATGTCGCGCTCTGCGGCGACTGCGACCGCGCCTGGCGGCTGCAGTTCTTGCAATGGTTCTTTGAGCGCAACTTTCGCATTCGAGCCGCTGGTCCAGTCAACCGGGCGGTGTTTCGCGACGGACGGCTAGTCGCCTTTTTCATGTTCGTCACCCCCAACGTTCCAGACATCGGCCTGCTCGACATGCTTCGGACCGGGCTGCTTCAGGCGCCATTCCTCTTCGGCCCCGGCGTGGTGAAACGGCTCCTCTCGCTCAAGGCCGAGTACGAGCGAGTCGAGCAAGAAATCATCGCCGCACACGGCAACCCGCCGGTTTGTCGCCTGGAGCGGATGGTGGTCCACCCAGACGCACAGGGTATGGGTATCGGGAGCTATGCTCTCGGGCTTGCGCTGAAGGAGGCAGACGCCGCAGGCCTTCCGGTGCTGCTGAGCACGCAGGAGGAGCGGAACGTGAGGTTCTACAGTCGGCTGGGGTTCGAAGTCGTGCGGACAGATAGCCATGACGCGTACACGAGCTGGGCGATGCTCCGACAGCCGGTGCGATAGAAGCTAGTACGGGGGTGTGGACCCTGAGTTGACCAGGGGTTGTGCGCTGGGCCCTCCTGTTCGGCTCCAGCCAGTAGACAAGTCTTGTCATCAACAGAGTAGATGGATCTGACCTCGGGGCCGATGTGACCAAGCGCTGGTACCGTGGTTTTACCTCCCACCCATGGTCTCACAGTGTGCCGGCAGTCGCCGAGCAGTGTCGTGTGTCGCTCTCACACAAGCCGCTTGAACAAGCCGCAGCACAAGTGACTGAGGGCCAGTGAGGGCGAGCCCATCGCTGTCACAGCTGTGGCAGCCGCACAGTAGGCTGTGTCACCTGTGCAGAGTGTGTGAGCAGCAGAGGAGCTGCTCTCCGCAGGCTTCTGTTCGCAAAGATAGCCCGGTCGAACACCCCGGGTCGCGATTTTGGCAAGTGAATACGGGCGCTTTTTGACGATGAAATAAGAATCTACTGCCCGAGGGAAACACATAGACACCCACATGGTTGACCAACCCTAAGTGTGTGAGGGTCAGTGTTCACATTCACACCCCACTGGCACCGTGGCACTGTACAGTGTGCAGACCGACATACAGCACGCACAATGTAGCACTTACTAGTAAGCGCGCGCATCCCCCGCGCTCGCCCTCCACGGCCGCTGAGCGGCGCAACGCACATGCCTCCCTCGCGCGCGCTAGCGGCTCGGCGAGGTCGGCCGGCGCGAGCACAACCCCAAGACGATGCCGTAACGCGTAAGCGGGTGGCTGCGCCGCCGCTGCGCCGTCGGGGCGACGGCGACGGCGGCGACGGCGGCAGCGGGCCGGGCAGCGGCGGTGGCGGTGGCGGTGGTAAGGGCGGCGGCGTCGAGGGCGGCGGCGTCGAGGGCGGCGGCGGCGACGGCGGCGGCGGGCTCGGTGGGGGCGGCGACGGTGGAGGCGGCGAGGGAGGCGGCGGGCTCGGAGGCGGCGGCGAGGGCTGCGGCGGCGAGGGCTGCGGCGGCAAGGGCGGCGGCGGCGAGGGCGGCGGCGGCGCCGAGGGGGGAGGCGGCGACGGCGGCGGCGGGCTGGGCGGCGGCGGGCTGGGCGGCGGCGGGCTGGGCGGCGGCGGCGGCGGCAACGGCGGGCTCGGTGGGGGCGGCGACGGTAGAGGCGGCGAGGGAGGCGGCAGGCTCGGAGGCGGCGATGAGGGACGCGTGGCTAGGGCGGCGGCGGCGAGGGCGGATGTGGCGAGGGCGGATGCGGCGGCGGCGGACTGGGCGGAGGCGGGCTGGGCGGCGGAGAGGACTGGGCGGCGTGCGGCGACGGCTGCGGCGGCGAGGGCAGCGGCGGCGA